CGTGCTGTCAAACCTACACTAGCAAGGAGATCGGGCTGAAACTATAGCTACAAGCTATCCAAGGATGGTACTATAGAATGTCACCTCAAGGTAGGCCTAGTGGCGTCATCTCTTGGTTAGGCCGGAAACTTATCAATCCACCCTCGTATATAAAGACTAGGTTGATGTCCTAAATTCGTGTCAAAGATCACGAACGACCACATAAAACCAATTTTTTCTATTCCTCGGAAATAGAATTTTTTCTGAATAAAAGGTACCCTATGTAACATCATTTTTAATCTAACTTAAATTAACTTTTAATTTTTGCAGTTGAAAAATTTTTATAAGAATGAATGTCTTTCCTTTTGCAGAAAATAGTTCAACGTATTGAAAAAGATTACAAATTGCACTACTGTTTTGGCGCTCCTGGAGTAGACATAGATCCTTCCATAAATTATGTATATTTTATTAAAATAAACAGAGAAGGCCTACCCAGTTTCGAATCTCTTGAAGATGTACTGGCTGAAGCGCCCAACTACATATTGTGCGGTTCTGCCACCGGCAATGTACTACACAATTTAGGACTGCTAATTGAACAGGTGTACTTTTAATAATTTCCTTTTTTTATATAGTAAAAATAAGGGGCGGTCGGGGTGTTGCTTAGCATGACGAGATATGGCAAGGGTGGAAGGGGATCGAAGGAAATGTAACGTTCACAGTTCATCAATTTTACTTTAATTTCTTTTAACTTGACACTTGTTGAAATTTTCTTATTTTCATTGCTATTTTGTGATGTAATATTTGTTAGGGTGGTCGCTGAAAGTGTGACTTAGCGTAACGAAAAAGGAAGGAGGGAGTGAGGGTGGTAGAGATAAATGAATTGAGGTGTCCAAAGAGGTGAAATTCTGAGTAACGTATTTTATATTCTATACGAATAAAATCATTTTTCAAGAACCACGTACACCCAAAATAATTTTTCAATTTATTTCAGAACTTTTTACCTCTGATAACAAAGCGTTTTAGAGAAGGTCAACAGTTCGAGGTTGATAAAGACAATGTAATGGAGCAGTTTAGCGATTTTAAAACACCGTCGGCTTACCGAAGAATATCGCTTGCCGTGAAGAAACATTTGCAAAAAAAACAGGCTGAAAAAGAAGAGGAAGGGGAGGAGAATAATTTATCGACGGAATTGACGAGAAAATCTCGTGAAATTCTGGACAAGGAGGAAAATAAATCTATGGAAGAGACGTCTTCATTTATTGCTTCAAATACGCAGGAAACTTTATTGAAAGAAACAACGAATTTACTAGAAACAATCAAATGGTTTGTATGCTGCTTTTATAACTTCATACCTGGTTAATTTTACTATAGTAATATTTTAATAGTAGCACGCACATGACCTACAATTTTACGTGAGGTGAAAATTGATTGTATTATTTTCAATTTTTTCCCCTTACTTTTTCTTATTATTACTGAGAAATGTATTTTTAATATATAGAAAAATATCTGCATGATTTAAAGTCAAAAATTTAAACCTAGTTTTGTATTAGGTGTGACGCACACATGAAAGACGATGCTTGGTTGCCAATGGGAAATGTCCAGGAAATTTTCTACTATACCGACGAAGAGATCCTGAACGATCCAAAATTGATACAAGAGCTAGAGGAGATTGTCATGGGGTGGGAAAGACATATTATTAAAGTTACCGAAATGTATGCAAACAGGGTGAGACAATCCTTTCCTAATATGTAGCAGTTGCAATACCAATAGTCCAATGGTTTCCCTAGTCTCTCTCCAGTCTCTCAGAGACTTTCAGCGTCTGTGAGGGCGTCCTCTCACAGTCTCTCAGTTATTGCCTACATGTTTTTATGGATCTCTCACAGTCTTTGTATGAGAGACTCGAACGATAAAATTGTAATTCAGAGGTTCGAGTCTCTCACAAAAAGACTGAATGAAAAATTGAGAGATTCGAGTCTCTCGTTCAGAGACCGAATACGAAATGAGGATCTCTCTATGAGCGACTCGAGTCTCTCGTTCAGAGACGCTAAACAGTTTTTTTGACAGTCTCTCGACAGTCTCTCTCAGCGACACCAGAGAGACTCGATGAGAGACGGAGACTCGGGTCTCGCTTTCAGAGACTCTGAGAGACTGAACATTTTTATCTCGGGAANGAAGTCGACGTAATTTAGATTTTTTTTATGATTTTTGGTATCTAGAAAGTCAAATAATTCAGGATGGAAGAAATGGTAGAGATATAAAAAAAAAAATATCGCAGGGTCGAACAAAAAGAGGTCAATTTTATGCTGGCGAACGGTAAATATAGAAATTCGAAAAAGATTATTGAAGGTGTATGTGTGGAGCACAGCTTTGAACGGGTGCAAAACGTACACGGTTAGGGCAGCGAAAAAGAGAAGGTTAATAGCTTTCGAAATGTGGTGTTACAGGCGAATGATGTGGATACCGTGGATAAAAAAAGTTAGAAATAAAGAGGTATTAGAAAGAATAGGTTGGTTGGACACCTTCTCAAGCATAAAGGTCTAGTCAGAGATACATTAGAGGCAGAAACGGAAGTTGGGATGGGTAGAGGTAGACCTAGATTAGATTACTGTTCGCAAATAGTTAAGGATATGTTCTACTAGTTTTAGGGAAATGCGAAAATTAGCTCGGGATAGGAAAGAGTAGAGGTGCGTGTTCAGTCAGTCTTAGGACTGACGTCCTTATGATGATGAAATAGTCTATGGGCGCTAAGGAAGTTATTAAGAAATAGGCGAGGAGGTTGGTAGTGCACCTTCTCAGGCAGGAAGGGCTAGTTAAAAGAGCGATATTGAAAGCAGAAACAGGAGTTAAGAGAAGTAGAGGTAAACCTCTACTATATTGCTGTTCACAAATGGTTAATTATGTAAGATGTTCAAGTTTTAGAGAAATGCGATTTACCATTAATAATCAATGATTATTCCAGAAGAAGGATTAATGATGGCCTTGTAGGTCGAAACTTGTTAAGAATTTAATAAAAATTAAGTGAAAGTTTTCAAAAAGTGTTTTTTTACCAAATATCATTATGATCAACTTTCATATAGTAGAAGTCGAAGAAATGGGCTGAAATATAGAAACTATACCAATTTACGAATTAATCCGTTTAAATTGTGAAAATATTTCCTCAACGATTGTTGAGATGAATTTTGATTTTAGGAACCGTTAGGATTTGGTCCAACAGCAGAATACGAAGACTGGCAGGAAAAACAAAATGCATACAGTAGCATAACTGATCAGTTGAAAGGTCGGGAAACATTACGCACAATTAATATTTTACAAGCGGCGGAATCTCCATTCATAAGTGCGTTTGAAACGTACACAATCGATTTACGAAAGGTGTTGGTACAAGCAAGAGACAACGCTAAATTTTTGACCACCGTTTTGAGATATTTTAAAGTAAGCGAAATGTGATATTCGCTACACTACACTACCGTTAATCTCTAAAATTATTGAGATATGTTTACCTTATCAGCATAGTCGTAGTCCGTACGAACTAATCAAAAAGCTACGCCCTACATTTGTGAGTTACATCGTCTTTTAAGGATGTTTGGGAGGTATGTCAAAATTCTACGAGACAAATAAAAATTTGGAATAACGTTCCTCATTCAATTCTAAAACTCCTGTAAAAATTACAAATCGATTCACTAAACCGTTAAAAAGTTATTGAAATTTTAAAAAATTGTAATTTTACACATCATTTTATGGAGATTCGTTAACCGAACAGATTAAATTTATTTTTATTAACAGAAAAAAAGCTACCAGAAATTTCAAACTTTTATAATAAGTAACTTGAACTCTGGAGAATCACTTTAGCGTAAGGTTATTCAAATTCACTAAATGGTTATCGAGGAAAAAATGAAAAATTAGCTGAAAATCTCGTTTTTACTTGATAATATAATGATAATATTTATAATTGTCTGAAATAAATGCAATTTTAAAGTTTTAATTATTATTTAAACATATTAAAAAGTTTTACGCTCATTATTAATAGAGATTGAAACTAAATATTTTTTTGTTTCGAAGTTGAAATCAAGGCATATTCACTGCCAAAAGTCAGTTAAAAATTTTCCATATTATTCGTTATTTCTTATTTTATTCAAAGTTTTTGGTCAAATTCCAAATTTTCTCTCAAACCGTATACTTTTTTTTAGTATAGATACTATTTATTTACCTCATGATATGCTGCAAAACCTAATTAATCACGAATTTCTAATTTTATGTACTCTTGGCTCCGATTGTACCTCCCAAACATCCTTAAGTTTATTTCCTTTTTCATAGCTAAACAAATTCTATTCTACCAATAATAAAACGCACCTATTCATTTATACCGACCTACCACTAGTTCATTCAAAACGTCGTTATAATAAACGATATCTGCTATAAATAAAATTTCTCCTTCGACATCTTTTAGGCCATTGACTCTGTCTCGGATTACGCAGTATTGACAAAAATGATACCGGATCTTATGGACGGTTTACGTTTAATTTGGATCCTGTCGAGCTACTACGGCAGAGACGAGACCATGATCGCGCTCATGGAAAAGATAGCATGGGCGCTCCGAGAGAGGGTGATAGCTCATTTGGATCTTGACACCCTTTTCAGAAATCCTGTGAACGAGGTACTCGAGGAAACGCAGAAAGCGATGGAAATGTTAGAAACGTGGAAATCGGCCTATATGACAACAAGAGAAAAGATCGAAATTTCCGGAAAAGGGCAGAGATGGGAATTTGATAAATCGGTATTGTTCGAAAAAACTGATCATGTAGCTGCCATATGTCGAGATTTACACGAAATAGCAGTGGTAACTTAAAAAATTTCTAATCACTTCTCTATAGCAGTATTAGCATCTAGCAATAAAATTAATGCGGTATTGACATGAAAATAAAAGTAAAACAAAAATGTTCGTATGCAAGGGTAGAAAAGTAAGGAAAGAGCGAATATAAAGATAGGAGACGAAAAATTAGAAGAAGTGGCTGATTTTAGATATCTAGGAAGTCAGATAAGTCAGGACGGAAGGAGTAGCACGGATATAAAATAGAGGATACCCAGTCGCCTTCAATAAAAAGAAGTCACTTCTATGCTCGCGAACGATTAATTTAGAAATTCGAAAAAGATTGTTAAATGTGTATATTTGGAGCGCAGCGTTGTACGGGTGCGAAACATGGACAGTGTGCGCGGCGGAAAAGAAAAGGTTAGAAGCGTTCGAAATGTGGTGTCATAGGCGAATGATGAGGATACCGTGGATAGAAACGGTTAGAAATGAAGAGATATTAGAAAGAATAGGAGAACAGAACTCTATGGAAGTCAATAAAAAATAGGCGAGATAGGTTGGTAGGACACCATCTCAGGCATGAAGGTCTAGTCAGAGACATATCAGAGGCAGAAACAGGAGTTAGGAAGGGTAGAGGTAGACCTAGGTTAGATTACTGTTCGCAAATAGTTAAGGATGTGGGCTGTTCTAGTTTTAGGGAAATGCGAAGTTTAGCTCAGGAAAGGAAAGAGTGGATGTGTGTGTCCAACCAGTCTTAGGGCTGATGACCTTATGATGATGATGACTTTTCATCAATACAAACAAGCATGAAAATTAACAACATTTTTCTCAGGTTCTCAGCCACTTCACAAACATTTTCGGACCGGAATTAAAGGCAGTTGTGAGCGATCCTCAAAGAATTAACGAAATTCGAAAACGTCTTGAGGTGTTGGTGGCACCAGTAGAAGGTCTGGATTTTGACGTTTTCAAAGTAAGCAACAAGGAAAACTGGGATCTCATAATGGTGGCATTTCAAAAGGAAAAGCATCTATTCGAAAATAAAGCCTTACAAATGATCGATCAGAGTTTTAAAATATTAAGGTCAATACAATTTTCCAATCTCGTATGTTTCACCATTTACTAATAAAACAAACTAATGATTAAACAGATCTGCTGATTCAGCTCTGGACATGCTGGCCAAAGTTATAAAACTAGATACAAGACCTGTAATCAAAGAAAGACTGGCCGAAAAGTTCGATAGCATTGTCGATCAATTTTCGAAAGAAATCATGGAAATTGAAGATATATTTCAGGTAGTTTTGAAATTCTAACGTTTAAATAAAAAAAAATAGTCCCTCAGGATCTAACTACAATCCTAAATATTTACGTTGCTCCTCAAGTTCTATAATTGCCTATTACTGTTTTCATTTTCACATTTTTAAGTATACTCGGATTTAACAACCTTTCCTGTTCAACATTATCAAAAGCTTTTTCTAGATCTACGAATCCAAATTGTTCCTTTACCTTCTCTGCACGATTCTGGTTAAGATTTTTGATGCGTGGGAATTTGAACTAATTTTTCAAAATTTCTCGTATCTATCCGTGTCCTTCTTTTTTGGTGGTATTATGTTTATAGTCCTCTAGGACATTTCCGGTTTCGTATATGTGCCTAACTATTATTTAAATTTTAAATGTTAATTCAAGCTTTTTCTTCATAATGGGTATCCTAATCTATCTCCACATTGTCCTCCTTTTCTAATACATCTCCTAACTCTTGACCTGCATATAGGTTTTTTAAATATGGTGAAATTTATCAATGAATTTGAATTATATCATACCAATATAATTCCTGTCGATTTCGAAGCATTTCATCACTTATTAAAAATACTATTTTGATTCTATATAAACTTGAGTTTAATGCCTGCAAAAATTTCAGAGGTTCAAACGGAAGCCTCCCATTTCCCGAAATCAGCCGCCAATTTGCGGATCTATATACTGGAGCAGGCTTTTATTTTATAAACTGAAGAAGACCGTGCTAAAACTGCAAACCGTCGAAGAATTAAAGACGTCGTCGCTGAAGTTTGACGCTTTTCAAAGCTACGCGACATTGGGGAAGAAAATGCGAGCCTTCGAAAAATCGAAATTCGAACAATGGCTAAGTACTGCATTAAAAATTATTCAAGAATCCCTCGAAATGAAAATAATCAAACTCGCACATATAAAAAAGAAACGTAAGTACTTTAAAGGAGTATTTAATTACTACAATACTTATGGAATACATATAACTATAAGAAGAGTCATTTAGATCAAAGATTACAAAAATGATCAACCTGCTACTAATACCAATAAATAATTGTACTACGTATAATTTTTATTTACCATCATTTCCAAATATTTCTTCTGTCTTTCCATTACGTTTTGTGAAAAATATTATTAATTAATATTTTTCAGTCATCAAGATACCAGCAGAGGACGAGTCAGAGGTTGGTTCGATAAAAGGTAAGTGATATCATACAAAAATAATTCTCGTTGCTAATCCTAACTAACATAAATGCGAATGTGAGTTTTGTATTACGATTTCACGTTTTAACTACCCATATGAAATCCTATGACATTGTTAGTTACTTAATAGTGGATTAATATGCAATATTAATTTGAAATCATTTTTTCGATTTTTTATTTACCCACTACAAACTACCTCAAATTAATGACCATCATGAATTTTTGTACACACACCTTTTATCCAGAAAAAACACTGTTCCCGAGGGATAGAAACAATTAGTTTTATGTGGTGATTGATGATTGCTGACACGTATTTAGGGCATCAACGCGAGCGAAGCTGAGGGTAAAACCTATATATAAAATTTTATATGCACATTGTCAGGGGTACAAAAAAGGACGTAGGGTACCTTTTATCCAGAAAAGAAACTGTTCCCGAGGGACAGAAAAATTAGTTTTATGTGGTCGTCTATGATTTTTGACACATATTTAGCACATCAACGCGAACACATTGTCAGGGGTACAGAAAGGACTCAGGGTATTTTTTATACAGAAAAAAAATACTGTTCTCGAGGGATAAAAAGTTAGTTTGATGATTTGTTATGTCAGGACGTGTTTATCCTATTTATGCAATCATCAAAAGCACAATAACTCATCATCTTTTTTGTTTTTTCAGGAAAACGTAGCGGTTCCCCTATGGGTAAAAAAGCATCCTTTATAGAGAGGTGTATGAATCAAAAAAACGTGACGTGGTTCGATTTAATTGGTAACCAAGTGTTATCCGAAAATAATTGCAAGTTCGTGATCAATTTCAACAAGCAAATATACACTTATCTAACCACTACCGAAAGGATTGAATTTCTGGGATTCAATTTACCGGACGTTATCAAAAAGGCTGCCTTACAGACTGATGAAATTAGCGCGAATGAGGAACAAGTTGAAACAATGCTTTCCGAATATAACAGTATCATTAGCGTACTTACTGTTCCTCAGGTACGAACGAATTTTATTAATTAGTGCGTTTTATAAGATCGAGTTTGAACGGAAACTTTTCAATATGAAATATTATTTTGAAAATTCATTTCTGAATTTTTTACCCACTACAGACTACCTCAAATTAATGAGGGAAAAATTGTTGCTGTTTTCACACCAGCGCCGGGAATCGAACCCGGGACCTTTGGCTTTACGCACCAACGTTCTGACCACTAAACTACGAGAGGTGTTATATTAAAATAACTCCCTTAAAAGATGTCTAAATTGTATGTATGTTTAATCATAGTATATTCAGTATATAGTTATATTAGTTCGACGGATCGTTAACCTTGTAGGTCGGTTGGTCGTGGTTGCTGTTGTCATCTCTCGTAGTTTAGTAGTCAGAACATTGGTGCGTAAAGCCAAAGGTCCCGGGTTCGATTCCCGGCGCTGGTGTGAAAACAGCAACAATTTTTCCCTCATTAATTTGAGGCAGCGTGTAGTGGGTAAAAAATTCAGAAATGAATTTTCAGAATAATATTTCATATTAAACTAACTCACTTCTAAAAGATGTCTAAATTGTATGGAAACTTTTCAGTTAAATCTTCTCAGAGAATGTCTAAAAGACGTAGAGTTACATATTCAGCCGGGCCTAACGATACTTAACTGGAAATCTCTTTCTATCCGAGAATATGTGAACACATGCCGAACGAAAATTGGAGACCTGAAGGCTCTCTACACGGAGGTGCAGCATATGGAGAGCTACGTGTTCACCAGGATTAACGCCATACCCGACTACGACCTATTCTATTTTGTACCGGTCGAAGAAGAACCAACGCGGCTGTTTTGCAAAGACTTTTTTCATCAGTTGAACGAGAAACGAACGGAAACAATTTACGAACTGAACAAACAATACGAAAGCATAACCCCGTTGCTTTTGAAACTGGAGCACGTGGTTTTGAAAACAACAACCGGTTACTGTCCTCACATGCTACAGTACTACACCTTTTGGGAAGAGAAAATTTACGAGAGGCTCATCCAGATGATACTCCTAAATCCAGAACGATTTACGAGGAAAATGGAAGACGGCGTTGTTATGTTTCACGTTGACGCATTGCTCTCTACAACGGAAGTAGTTCTTCAACCCACACCGATGGAAGTATACAACATGATCATAAAAAACTTAAACGACCTCGTTTCGAGGTTAAAGTCGTTTCCGAGATGGATGAAAGGCACTTGTCTTTTGTGTCCTCAGCAAAAAATTGAAAACACGAACGATTTCCTGGTCTATTCTTTTTACAATGACATTGCCAGTTTGCAAGAAGTGACAGATGTTATAGAGAAGGCCCAAATTGCGGCTTACCGTAGACTCCTCGAAATTAATAAGTATGTCATCATTATAGGGACATTATAGGGCGTTTATTTTAAACCCTTCCCCACAGTTCTTCCTCCCTTTCTTCTATCCTTTTCTGGATGATTTTAGCTAAGATTATATATCTACAAAAAATCTTCAGATTCGTAATTTGTACATACAGTAAAAGTTCCTTATTGACGGTTTCCTTATTCGCGGGTGAAAAATTTGCAACCCAGTTCCTATATTCGCGACTAAAAATTTTATTATTCGGCGATGCAATTGGTAAACAGAAAAGGATTCGGTGTCATTTATCAAAGGAATTGACCGCAATAGACCGCTCGTGTCTGGTGTGAATTTTCCGAAAACATGTATTTCTATTCTAAACATTGTGATTTAACGCTGCGAAATAAATATGTGATTTTTTTGTATTGTAACAGACAAAGGTTCACACTAACTCGGTACGTTTTTAGTTTTCAATGATATGGTCATTAAAAGCTTTTACAAGCGCTTAAAGTTGAAGCTTCTTGTGGGACACGTATTTTCAATAGAAATTAAAAATGGCCTTCGACAGGCTTTAGAAAAAAGCTTTATCTGTCTTACTACAAAATTTCAAACCTCTATTCCAAACATTAAACTCATGATATCTAGAAGCGATAAGCATGTTTTTATTCTACGGCGCATGAACTACTGAATCCCCTTAATGTATCGGCATCTTTTAAGTATGTTCTGTTGGTACATGGCGAGGCAGCTTTTATAAAAGATGTAACCCAGTAAACAGAAAAGGATTCGGTGTTATTTTTCAACGTACCGGCATCTTTTAGGTACTGTTAGCTCGTGCCGAAACGACTTTTATAAAAGATGTAACCGAGTGAACTAATTCAAAATTCAAAACAAGAAAAATCACTAAATTTTTTAAACTCTTGTCTAAAAGTGATTATAACGATTAATTTTAATTGCGAATTTCTCAATAAATTAATTTTATTCTGATGCATATTGGTTTTATTCTGGAACCTTAGAACGTATTCCCTATGATTCCATACTAATTACCATTCCATATCCACGGTTTCTGTATTCGCGGCATATTTATGGAACGTATACCCCGCGAATATTGTAATAGTAATTGATGAAATATATTTTATTACAGATACGTTCTTACGTGGAAACGATACAAAAATCTTTGGCTGTATGACAAAGAAGACAACTGCCAAAAATTGGTTGAAAAACATCCTCGCATAAACCTGTATGACGATACCCTGACCTATTACAATGACATTATCGACGACCTGATACGTTACCCGGATCATATGGACATTGGTTGTATCAGGGTAAATCTGCGTCCTTTGTTAAATTCAATCTGTGAGCATGCCCATATGTGGAAAATTACCTTGAGCGAAAAATTAGCTGAAGACATTAAAAAGTCTATGCTAGCACTGAAAGAAGTAATGGACGAACTCAAAGCGAAGGTAAATGCGAATATAAGAGGTTTAGAGCAATTGAAAATCGTCATGAAAGCCATTAACGATGTTCTTAAGATGAACGTTGGAGCAGAGGTGCAATTTACCAACGCCCAAGAAATTTACATAATGCTAAGGGATTATGCTTTGCCATTTAATGAAGACGACGAGATTTTCGCGTATGAGATAGCGAAGGAATGGAGAATACTCTATCTGTCTGCACTTTATAGGAATCAGACTTTGGAATCGACCAAAGAAAGATTTGTCGAAATTACAATTGGAGAAGTGAGAGACTTTTGCAAACTTATCGCAGAATTTGTTGAAAAATTTGACACGGAAGGTCCAGGATGCGTTGGTGACGATCTTGAACAGGGTTTGAGGTTAATGGAAGAATTTGGAAAAATCTTCCGAGAACTAGAGGTTCGACGATTAGACCTGGTTAACGCGGAATTATTATTCGATATTCCGCTAACCGATTATTCGGACTATTTAAGAGCATACAACGACTTCGAAAATTTTGAATTGGTTTATAAACTTTACAAAAACCAAAAATCAGCCCGTGACATATGGGGAAGAACGCTTTGGGTTAACTTAAATCCCCAGGCGCTTACTGATGGTATCGAGACTTTCCTGAAAGACTTTAGGAAGTTACCAAAACTTGTCAGATCGTATCCCATAGCCCAAGCACTAGAGCTTAAAATGAAACATTTTAAAGGAACTGTGCCTTTGATGGTGGCCCTCAAAAACGAAGCTTTGAGAGAAAGACATTGGGAACAGCTTATGCAAAAGACCGGGAAATTCTTCGACATGTCACCAGATCGATTTACACTGGATAATATGTTTGCTATGGAATTACATAAGTATCAAGAGATCGCAGAACAAATAATTAACAATGCCATTAAAGAACTTGCTATAGAAAAGGGCGTTCAAGACATCGTAGATACATGGAATGTAATGGCTTTCAATGTTCTAAAATATATAAAGGGAAACGAAGACAGAGGATTCGTATTGGGTCCCGTTGATGAAATTGTTCAAGTATTGGAAGATAATTCGATGAATCTTCAAAGTATGGCCGGATCTCAATTCGTTGGACCGTTCCTTCCAGTGGTACAGAAATGGGAAAAGACGCTCTTCCTTATTGGCGAGGTAATCGACGAGTGGATAGGTGTCCAGAGGAAATGGATGTATCTCGAAGGAATATTTGTGGGTGGGGACATTAGAACACAATTGCCAGATGAAGCGAAAAAATTTGATAACTTTGATAAATCATTTCGAAGAATTATGGTCGAATGTGCGAAGAATCCGAATGTCCTTTTAAATTGTACAGCATCTGGAAGATTAGAAGAGTTTCAGGGTTTAAGTTTTGGCCTTGACAGATGTCAAAAATCTTTAAACGACTACTTGGACTCGAAGAGAATGAGATTTCCTAGATTTTATTTTATCTCAACTGACGAATTATTATCGATTTTGGGAAGCAGCGAGTACGAAGTAGTCCAGGAGCACATGATCAAAATGTTTGACAACATCAAAATGCTAAAGTTCAACTTGGACCAGAACGACAACGTAATTGCCACGGCGATGATTTCCGCGGAAGCTGAAGTGATGGATTTTAGAAACGCCGTTCTTATCGAAGGCCCTGTCGAAGAATGGATGAACGACGTCTTGCACGAAATGCGTCGATCGAATCGATTCATTACTAAGAAGGCGATATACAACTACGGAAAAGTAAGACGTCCTAGAGCAGAATGGATGCTGGACTTCCAGGGGATGATTTGCTTAGCCGGCAGCCAAGTCTGGTGGACCGCTGAGGTGGAAAACGTTTTCGAAAAAATTCTGAAAGGACAGCACAGATCAATGAAAGAATATCTAAACCAACAAAATAGGCAGCTCGACGAAATCGTCATCACTGTACGTGGCGATCTCACATCAAACGATCGATCCAAGTTTAGAACAATAGCTATCGTCGAAGTGCACGCGCGAGACATCATAGAAGGCTTCGTTCGAGACAGCGTCACCGACATACAAGAATTCGAATGGGAAAGCCAGCTAAGGTTTTACTGGGTTAACCGATTGGACAATCTTTGGGTTAACCAATGTACCGGATCATTCGAATACGGTTACGAATACATGGGTCTAAACGGTCGTCTGGTTATCACACCTCTTACAGACAGAATATACTTGACCATTACCCAAGCCTTGCTAATGCACCTTGGTGGTGCCCCGGCCGGACCTGCCGGGACCGGGAAAACTGAAACCACTAAGGATTTAGCCAAAGCAATGGCTCTATTGTGTGTGGTAACTAATTGTGGAGAAGGGATGGACTTTAAAGCGATTGGAACTAATTTGGCTGGGGTTTGTCAATGCGGAGCCTGGGCATGTTACGATGAATTTAACAGAATTGATATATCTGTGCTCTCAGTAATATCAACTCAATTACAGACAATACGAAGCGCTCTCATAAATAAATTGGAACGGTTTAATTTTGAAGGTCAGTAATCGACTAAGGTTTTTCCTAAAAGCCCATTGAATTTTTTGTGAAAGAATGATGTTCGTTAATATTTTAGAATACTAGCGACCCGCCCCAGCTTCGCACGGGTGAAATGCTGATACTAAATATATTTTTGTTTTGTTTGGATTATTATCGAGAGGGGAAATGTTAAATAGACAACCGCTGAACACATTAAATATACTACAGAATGTCTTTATATACATTCACAATTTTTTTGTCATTAGACAATACAAACCGGCCTCCCGGTCGGTACCGCCGCAACCGCCATGTTTGCATTTTAAATCTGTAATAACTTCGAAAATATTCATTTAAATTGCATGCTGTAAAGGGCCATATTGATCTACATTAATGCACGATGTATTTAAGGTACTTAATTGGATAAGAATTAATGCCGTGTTGCTTAAAATCGTTTAGTAAATAAGTCATTATTTCTCATAAAAAGTAAAGGATAAAAAATGGTTATTGTGGGTTATCTCTAAGAGATAGACATATACCATCGCGGACTCTTTTGTAGACCTTTTTAAGATATACAATACTGTGGTACATTATTTTGATCTATCTCGTAGGGTTTAGCCAGCGTTTGCAATGTAAGCGCAAAAAAATGTGTTTATTTACGACATCACATTAGAAACCTCTAAAATTATCAGTGTTTCTCTACTATATTATGCATGTATTATACATATAAACCTTCCTCTTGAATCACTCAATCTATTAAAAAAACCGCATTAAAATCCGTTGCGTGGTTTTAAAGAACTAAGCATACATAGGGACAGACAGCGGGAAGCGACTTTGTTTTATACTATATAGTGATAGTGATGATTGATTCATTGATAGGTTTTTATTTAAGCTTCAATTAGTAGTGAAACTTCCGCTTAAAGGTTACTGTTACAAAACCCAGAATAAATACTTTTTGTCAGCTCATTCGAAAGCCTTTGGTATTTCACTGACCTCAAATAATTTTCATTTTCGTATTTAACAAATAATGATTTTATTAATATTTCTATCCACCTCGCAGGACAAGAAATTGCACTGGATGCAAAGGTTGGAATATTCATAACGATGAATCCTGGATACGCAGGACGAACCGAGCTTCCGGAATCGGTTAAAGCACTCTTTAGGCCGGTCGTTTGTATAGTTCCCGATATGGAGCAGATCTGCATGATCTCCCTCTTCTCCGATGGATTCCTTGAAGCAAAAGTCCTCGCGAAAAAAATGACGGTATTATACAAATTGGCAAGAGAGCAATTGTCAAAACAATATCATTACGACTGGGGTCTTCGAGCACTAAATGCGGTACTGCGGATGGCTGGCGTACTCAAAAGAAACGATCCCGACAAATCCGAAGCCCTAGTTCTCATGAGAGCACTGAGGGACATGAACCATCCAAAATTCGTCTTCGACGACGTTCCTCTGTTTCTGGGATTGATTCAGGATCTGTTCCCAAATCTCGACTGTCCTAGGGTTGGTTATCCCGATTTCAATGCTGCCGTTGAGAATGTTTTGGAAAAAGAGGGCTACATTCTACTTCCCATTCAAATAGATAAAGTGGTTCAAATGTACGAAACGATGATGACACGTCACTCTACCATGATCGTCGGGCCAACCGGTGGAGGTAAAACGGTTGTGATTCAGACTCTTGCGAAAGCTCAAACTTTATTAAACCTGCCGACGAAAATAACCACCCTGAACCCGAAAGCGTGTTCCGTTATAGAACTTTATGGCGTATTGGATCCGTTTACGCGCGACTGGACTGATGGATTACTATCGAACATTTTTAGGGAGATGAATAAGCCAACGGAAAGGGCAGAACGTCGATACGTTTTATTCGATGGGGACGTGGATGCCCTCTGGATTGAGAATATGAACTCCGTAATGGATGATAACAAGCTATTGACCTTAGCTAACGGTGAACGTATCAGACTGTTGCAACCTACTTGCGCATTGCTCTTCGAAGTTGGAGATTTACAGTATGCATCCCCTGCAACAGTTTCTAGAGCCGGTATGGTATACGTGGACCCCAAAAACCTTGAATATGAGCCTTACTACTTGAAGTGGGTTAATAAGCGCCAAGAAGGGAAGGAACAAGAATTGTTTACCAAATTTTTAGAACAATACGTAATACCCAGCATGCAGTACATAATACAAGGGGAAGTCAAGGGCCGACCGGTGAGTTTAAATGTTCAAATTTAATCTGATTATTTAAACATATTCCTAGCTGTGAAAAAACCCTGTCTTGATTCGGGTCTAAGGCCAGTGGCCACATCCAACATCTAGCATCGAAGATGGAGAGACCTCTTAAGACCTCATGCTAGCGACGCGTTAGGAAGCAACTCCAACCAACGACGGTTTTTAGACCCGAATCAGGACTGCATCAGTTCACCTACTGGCCGCTAATGCCTTTACCAATTCCTGTCTGTGTTTCAATGTAAAGTGACTCTTGGGATATTTGAGTCTTTAACACCATCTTGAATAAATTGCCAAATTACTGAGGCATTTCATAATAATAATAATCATGACTTCAGTACGATCAAATATCAAACTCTATTCCGTGAATGATTACTTTATTAGGATTACTTTTAATCATGTTACTTTCAATTTTCAGGTACCACCCCTTAAAACTGTCATACCACAAACAGGATTAAATCTGGTTACCCAGTTATGCAATTTCGTAGATGCAATCTTCCCTGTTCCTGAGGTAGAAGAAGGAGGAAAACCCGTACCAGTACAAGTAATGGAAGACTTCATGTACGAAAGCATATTCATTCACGCCATTTACAATTCGCTGGGTGCACCCCTTTTAGAAAAAGGCAGAGTCGAATACGACCAATTCGTGAAAAGCCTTTGTCCATTTATGGCGGCTGAAGATAAAATCGAAGAACCTGCCGAACTCAGATACCTCCCTACGGCCTTCCCGACGATGTACGATTATTATATGGACTTGGAGAAGTCGGTCTGGTACGCGTGGAATTGGTTAATTCCAGAATATGAACACGTACGGGAGAAAAGGTTTTCCGAAATTTTGGTACCAACCATTGACACCGTTCGTGTCACTTACGCTCTGAAAGTACTTAACAAAATAAGGAGACCGACGATTTTAGTGGGAGAAACAGGAACATCAAAGACGGCAATTATTTCCAATTTTTTAAGGTCACTCGACCCTGACAAATTTCTCGTATTAAATATCAACTTCTCATCAAGAACCTCGTCCATGGACGTCCAGAAAACATTGGAATCATCGGTGGAGAAACGCACCAAGGAAATCTACGGTCCTCCAATTGGTAAAAAGTTAATCTGCTTTATGGACGATCTCAACATGCCCCAGGTAGACGATTACGGAACACAACAACCGATAGCACTATTGAAATTGCTTTTTGAAAAGGGCGGTTTCTACGATAGGGGAAAAGATTTGAATTGGAAACAAATGAAAGATATACTATACGTTGCTGCAATGGGCCCACCAGGTGGTGGTAGAAATCCCGTAGATCCCCGATTTATGTCCATGTTCGCGGTTTTCAATCTCGTGTTTCCGTCCGATGCGACACTCCATCATGTGTACTCGTCTATACTTAGAGGCCACTTGGAAAACTTTGCAGAAGAGGCACAAATAGCTGATGCTCTTGTACAGATGACACTGAACCTTTACAATCTCATGCTCGTAGAACTACCACCGACTCCAAGCAAGTTCCATTATATATTCAACATGCGCGATTTGTCAAGAATAGTGGCAGGATTAATGAAGACAACGCCAAAATACTTCGAAATGGCTCATCAGATGGTACGTGTTTGGAGAAACGAATTTTTACGTGTAATTTGCGATAGGCTAATCAATTCAGACGATCAAGAACTGATGCGGAACCATCTCATTGAGCAGATAAACGAATTCTTCCCGTCAAGAGCACAAATGAGAATGGAAGAGGTAAAACCGATTGAGGAAACAGATCAGTCCGAAACAATGCTCCTAGAGGATGAAAAAATACCTGACATGTTGGAAGAACAGGAGGAAGAAGAAGAAGAAGGAATTAACGTTTTGGAATACGCGATGAGAGATCCCATACTGTTTGGAGATTACAGAAATGCGCTTAATTTAGATGAACCGAGAGATTATGAAGATTTACTTGACTATGATGCTACGTACTCGCTTTTTCAAGAGATTCTTGAAGAGTATAATGAACGCAAAGAAAAAATGAATATCATTCTTTTCGAAGATGCTCTGGAACACCTGACCAGGATTCACAGAGGATTAAGATTAGAGGTATACGTTTACTAATACATACATATATAATTGAATTAATGAGAAAACTTTTAAGAAACGTCTCCTAGGTTGAATATTAAATTTCTGACTCTCTGTGATGTTCTAGCATTTTTTTTAACATTACTTCTTTTGATATAAAACGTTTATATTTAGTTGAAATCTTTAGGGATGACAATAATATAAAAAAAATGCATTTTAAGAGTAACTACACATTTTACTTTCAGCGTGGACATATGATGGTGGTAGGAGTTGGTGGATGCGGCAAAGCAAGTTTAACATTTCTGGCAGCGTTTACAGCCGATTGCGAAATATTTGAAATTCAACTATCCAGAGGTTACAACGAGAACGCATTCAAAGAAGATCTCAAGAAACTGTTTTTCCAACTGGGCTTGGATAACAAACCGACTGTGTTTCTTTTTAAGGCAGCCCAAATAGCAGAAGAAGGTTTTCTGGAATTTATAAACAACATATTAATGACGGGAATGGTCCCAACGTTGTTTTCGGACGAAGATAAGGACCAGATTATTGGTAATTGCAGAACTGAAGCATCGAATGCAGGCTATGGAATAAGTAAAGATGGCGTGTGGCAATTTTTCTGTACTAGATGCACAGACAATCTTCACGTCGTCCTCTCGATGTCTCCTCAGGGAGAAATTCTCAGCAAACGATGTCGCAACTTCCCCGGACTAGTTAACAACACGTGCATCGATTGGGTCTTCCCCTGGCCACTGCAAGCTTTACAAGCCGTTGCATCCGTTTATCTGAAGGAGAATCCAAAGCTACCAGCAGATTTAAGAGAAACGATAGTTGAACACGTTGTGTACGTCCACACTTCTGTCGGTCAATTCACGTTAGATTTCCAAACCAAACTTAGAAGAAAGAATTACGTCACGCCGAAACATTATCTGGATTTCATAGCAACATATCTTCGACTACTTGAAGAGAAGAACGAATACAATTTGGCTCAATGTGAAAGGTTGAAAGGCGGCTTACGAAAAATCGACGAAGCCAGCAAGGATCTAGCTGTTCTCAATGCTAAATTGGAAGTACAAAAGAAAATCGTCATGCAAGCCACGAACGCCTGTAACGCTATGCTACTAGAAATCGAGGCTGGAACTGCTAAAGCTACTCAGAAAAAGGACGTTGCCTCTTTGAAATCCGTAGAAATTGAGGAACAGGCTAAAATAATAAGTTTGGAACAAGCTGATGCTGAAGCAGCGCTAGCCGAAGCAATGCCGGCGTTAGAACTGGCCAGACTAGCACTTTCAGAACTTGATAAGCAGGACATCACAGAAATTCGATCTTTTGCAACCCCTCCAGAACCGGTGCAAATTATTTGCGAATCAGTTGCCTTATTAAGAGGATACAAGGAAGTGAATTGGAAAGTTGCAAAAGGTAATCATCATCATCATCATCATCATCGTAGGGTAGTCAGTCCTAAGACTGGTTGGACACGTACCTCCACTCTTTCCTATCCTGACCTAAACTTCGCATTTCCCTAAAACTAGAACAATCCACATCCTTAACTATTTGCGAACGGTAATCTAATCTAGGCCTACCTCTACCCCTCCTAACTCCCGTTTCTGCCTCCTTCATGCCTGAGAAGGTGTCCTACCAACCTATCTCGCCTATTTTTTATTGACTTCCCATAGAGTCCTCTGTTCTCCTATTCTTTCTAATACCTCCGCATTTCTAACCTTTTCTACCCACGTTATTCTCATCATTCGCCTATAACACCACATTTCGAAGGCTTTTAACTTTTTCTTTTCAGCCGCGCTCACTGTCCATATTTCGCACCCGTACAACGCCGCGCTCCAAACATACACCTTTAACAACATTTTTCGAATTTCTAAATTAACCGTTCGCGAGCTTAGAAGTGGCTTCTTTATATTAAAGGCTACACGACACGGCCAAAGGTAATAAGAAATATAAAATTTGCCCAAACTGAAAATTCCAAAAATAGAAGTGAAATTTAATTAACTAATAAAAGTCGCAATTTTAGGTAACTATTTAAGTAATACATTAATAGTGATAGGTATCTTGTTGTAGCGTATAAATCATTTATGAAATAGAATTTTTTCTGTTTGAATCTCAACAACCATTTACAAGCTTTTGTATAGCCTAAACCCCTCCTATACAAAATTGCAGGGTAAATCGTAGGTCTTGTGGTGGTGCACGCCATGTTAGTACAAGTAGTAGTAGGTTGAAAATGGGCAATTTAGGAAAAAAAAGTTTTGGAAAATCAATAGTCTTTTAACAAAACAACTATTAAGCCTCAACTAAAGAATACTTTCAATTTAAGATTTTATATTACATTTTTGACATTACTCGACAAGGTTTTTTACATAAATATTGCATTCTTATTAATATTTTAATCCATTAATGTACAGGAATGATGTCCGATCCAAGTTTCTTGCGTCAGTTACTGGAAATGAATTGCGACCTGATCACTATAGGTCAGCAAAAAGCAACTAAAGAACATTTAAAGAAGTCGAAAAAGCTGGACGATATGGAGAAAATTAGTAAAGCTGGTTTCGGCCTGTATAAGTTTGTACAAGCAGTATTAGGGTACTGCCTTGTTTTTCGCGAGGTAAAACCGAAAAAGGACAGGGTAGAGGCTTTGCAAAAGGAATACGATGCGGCCAAAAAGAGTCTCGATAAACTCTATAACGAAATCGCCAAATTAGAAGCTGATCTAGCAATCTTAAATGAAAAATTCGAAATTGCCATGAAAAGAAAGCAAGAACTGCAAGAAGAAACGGACATTATGATGAGAAGACTGATTGCTGCAGAGAAACTGATGACGGGTCTTTCATCAGAGTTTAAAAGATGGACGGCAGACTTGGCAAATCTTCATGTGGAAAGAGCAAAACTGGTCGGTAACTGTTTATTATCATCTGCGTTTCTTAGTTACGCCGGTCCATTCAGTTACGAATTTCGTAAAGAAATGATTTATTACGACTGGCAAAACGACATCATCAACAGGGAAATTCCCATAACTCAGCCTTACAGAATCGAAGTAAACTTGACGAACGACGTGGAAATTAGCAAATGGAACTCAGAGAACTTACCTCCAGACGAATTATCCATACAAAACGGCATCTTGACTCTACGAGGTTCTCGATTTCCCGTCTGCATCGATCCTCAGCAGCAAGCCCTGAACTGGATAAAAAAGAAAGAAGAAAAGACCAACCTGAAAGTTCTCAGCTTTACCGATCCGGATTTCCTAAAGTTCCTGGACATGGCCATCAAATATGGAACGCCCATTCTCTTTCAAGACATCGACGACTATGTCGATCCGGTCATCAACAACGTCTTGGAAAGAAACATCAAAAACATAAGCGGAAGAGTGTTTGTAATACTCGGCGACAAGGAAGTAGACTATGATCCCAATTTTCGAATGTATCTCACGACAAAATTATCAAATCCTGCCTTCAGTCCCGCTGTCTATGCGAACGGTCTTGTAATCAATTACACTGTTACACTGACTGGCTTGGAAGATCAGCTTTTGGGGGTCGTGGTAAGAAACGAGCGTCGCGATTTAGAAGAACAAAGAGAAACGTTAATCGCAGAAACTAGCGAAAACAAAAATCTTTTGCAACAAATAGAAGACGCACTACTGAGAGAGCTGTCCACGTGTCAAGGGAACATGTTAGACAACGTTGAACTCGTGGATACGTTAGAAAACACAAAAACAAAAGCAGCTGAGGTGACGTCCAAGCTCGAACTTGCCCAGCAAACCGGCAAAGACATTGAAAAGTTAAGAGACGGCTACCGATTGGTTGCGAGACGAGGTGCAATACTATTTTTCGTCCTATCGGACATGGCAGGTGTCAATGCCATGTACCAGTTCGCCCTTGGGCCCTACTTAGAAGTATTTGCCTATTCATTGCGCAAGGCCCTTCCACACACTGTTTTGGCCAAAAGACTCCTGAACATCATTAACTGTCTCACCAAGAACGTTTACGACTTTGGCTGCACGGGAATCTTTGAACGACACAAGCTACTGTATTCCTTCCAAATGACTGTCAAATTGGAATTAGCAAAGGAAAAAATCCTTCAAAGTGAAGTAGACTTCTTTATAAAAGGGAACGTAAGTCTCGAAAAGTCAGGAATACCATGCCCCGCTGAATTTATATCGCCTCAGGGATGGGAAGACATAGTTAAACTTTCTACAGATTTCCCGGAACCTTTTGAAAAACTGACAAGTGTAAGAAACAAGTAGTTTACTGGACTAGCATTAGCTACTTAAGGATTCTTTTATTTCAGGATATAACGAAGCACGTAAGTGATTGGCGACAATGGTACGATTTGGACTCACCAGAATCCACCCAATTTCCCGACGAGTACACGGAAAAGTGTAATCCTTTCAATGTTCTTATGCTGATACGATGCTTCCGTATTGACCGAGTCTACAGAGCAGTCAGTAACTACATCACTGAGACCATGGGCGAAGAATACATAATGCCTCCAGTGATCAGTTTGGACAATATATTTGATCAAAGCAGCGCTCACACACCCGTAGTTTTCATCTTAAGTCCCGGATCGGATCCTACAGCTGAACTAATGAAATTGGCAGACAGGTGCGGAATGGGTGGAGGAAAATTCCGATATCTTTCGCTTGGTCAGGGCCAAGAACCGGCTGCTATCGCTTTGCTGGAGACGGCAGTCGCTAGGGGACAATGGCTCATGTACCAAAATTGTCACTTGCTGATATCATTCATAAGACTACTGGAAAAACAGTTGGAAAAAGTTTCTAAACCACATCCAGATTTTCGTTTGTGGCTAACGACAGATCCAGTTGGAAATTTTCCAATTGGGATTTTACAGAGGTAAAGTAGAGTAAACAAATTTATCATAGGTAGAAAATAACAAACTCCTTCACACCACCAAAATGGATTTATTTCCTTTCAGATCTTTGAAAGTGGTAACAGAACCTCCGAACGGACTGAAACTTAATCTTCGTAACACTTATTTCAAAATGCGTCCTCAAACGTTAGAGGCGTGTTCGCATCCTGCCTTCAAATCCTTGGTTTACGTGTTGGCATTTTTCCACGCGGTCGTCCAGGAACGAAGAAAATACGACAAAATCGGTTGGAATATAAGCTACGACTTTAACGAATCAGACTTTAATGTGTGTGTCCAAATACTGGACACCTACCTGACAAAAGCGCAAGCACTCAAAGACACTCGAATACCATGGGGAAGTCTAAAATACCTTATCGGAGAGGTCATGTATGGAGGAAGAGTTATTGACGATTTCGACAGGAGAATTGTCAAAACATACATGAACGAGTACATGGGAGACTTCCTTTTCGACAGTTTTCAACCATTCCATTTCTATAGAGACCGTAATGTGGATTACACAATACCACCAGATGGTATTAAAGACAACTATATCGGTGAATACAAAATATTTTTACCTACATGTACTTTGATAAGTATTGTAACTTTCACCCTTTCACTTTTCAGAAATAATCGACACGTACCCTCTAGCGAACACCCCCGAAGTTTTTGGATTACATCCAAACGCAGAAATTGGTTATTTTACCCAAGCTGCCAAAGAAATGTGGAAACTGTTGATAGAACTTCAACCACAAACTGGTAAGAAATCATAATTTTTTATTATAAGAGTAAAAAAAAACAAAAGGGAAAAAAAAATTCTATGAGTTTCACTACAATCGCTATAATATCTAACGATATCGTTTCGACCAAAGGATCTGTGTAAAATTATTTTTAATTAGATATCTATTACTAAAATGATTCGCAAGTTGCACGTATTTAAGCTCAAAGTCGATATATTTTCTATTTAAACATTTTCACGCTGCAGACGACTATTTAAAATACGTAAGGGCACAGGAAAAGGGTAAGTTAAAAGAGTCAGTGTTGCATGGGTGGCACTGAACATTAATGAATTAAACTAAAAAAAGGCTCCCCTCTAATTATCACAAGTAGTGTAACTTTGACATTACCAATTCTTCAAAAAGGTTTCCTGTGGTAATTAGGGGTGGATCATGTCTGTCAAGCTAGCACACCCTCATCACAAAATCGCAAAACAATTGAGTGCTTTTTTTAATGCTCTAATTAATAAATCTCTTTTACTTTATGATTACCTATTTAATTATTTCTTGTACGCATGCCTGCATGTACGTACAAACAGCTTCTGGAAGAGGCAATCGTATGCGATAATGTATTAGTGAACTAATTCAAAAAAAAAAATACAGGTGGTGGTGGTGAAGGAATTAGCCGAGAAGAGTTTATTACGAATATTGCATCGGACATTTTGAAAAAAATCCCTCCCGATTACGAAGTTGCAAAAGTTCGAACGTTCTTCCGATTAAGCATGACCCCGACCATTATAGTATTGCTTCAAGAGTTAGAAAGATTCAATAGACTGATTAAATCGATAAGGACAAGCCTGAATCTATTGAATAAAGCTTTGGCCGGAGAAATTGGGATGGACGCCACCCTGGACAATATTGCTTATTCCCTTTTTAACGGTCAGTTGCCGGCACTTTGGAGGAAATTAGCCCCGGCAACTTGTAAATCGCTCGGGGGTTGGATGGAACATTTTGAAAGACGGCAGAGTCAATACGCCGAATGGGCAAGTTATAAATTAATATTGTAAAATTATCAACAATAGACACCCATCATCATAAGGTCCTCAGTCCTAAGACTGGTTGGACACGCACCTCCTACTTCATCCTATCCTGAACCAGAACATCCCACATCCTTAACTATTTGTGAACAGTAATGTAACCTAGGCCTAGCTCTACTCCTCTTAACTCCTGTTTCTTCTTCTAATATGTGTCTATAACTAGTCCTTCATGCCTGAAAAGGTCTTGTAGCAACCTATCTCGCCTATTTCTTATTGACTTACATAGTGACCTCTGTTTTCCCAAAGAATACTTCCTCATTCCTAACCTTCACCAATAAATTACATTATTGATCCAGACGTTTTTAATAACTTTAAATGGTGCTGTCTTATTTCATAATTTAAATCATTTCGTCCTAAATTTTTACAACCCTTTACTGTATCCGTTACTGACCCGTGATTATATTCAATAAGAAGAAGACAAACTATTGAACTTTTCCAGGCGGCAAAGGGCGATCCTATAGCAATATGGATATCGGGTCTACACATCCCCGAAACTTATTTGGCCGCTTTAGTTCAAATTGCTTGTCGACAAAATAATTGGCCTTTGGACAGGTCTACAGTGTACACCATCGTAACAGAATTTGTTGCTTCGGAGGAGATCGAGCTACCTCCTATGCCAGTAAGTAATTTTAAAGTATTTTTAATGACCTTTTTCTAACATTCCATTTGGTTAATCAATTGTAAATCCGATACAACTATTCTCGAATCAAAGCAAAAGGACTAAACCAAATGCAGCATCTTCTTCCTCATGACTTCTCGATATCTTCGTACTTCCGAAATTGACCCGGATATAAATAATTTTATATCACAAGTATTTTATTTATAAAGAATATTAAAGTAATTCTTATGGTGTTGTGCAGGGTAATTGTTACGTGGAAGGGTTGTACATTGAAGGCGCAAGATGGGATATCGAAAACAATTGCTTACAAAGGTCGAGACCGAAAGTATTAATTGAAGCCCTGCCTATATTAAAAGTAATTCCAATCGAGGTGCATCGTCTAAGATTACAGAAAACATTAAGAACCCCGGTGTATACAACGTCTTTACGTAGGAATGCAATGGGGGTGGGACTGGTGTTCGAAGCTGATCTCCGAACTCCTGAACATCTAAGCCATTGGATACTTCAAGGAGTATGTCTTGTTTTAAATACAGATTAATTTTTTAAACGTATTTTAATTTTATTTAAATATATTGTTTTTAATTATATAGTAACGTTTTATTAATACGTTAAGATAGTTGTGATGAAAACAAAACAAATAATAACCAAAATTAAGTCTACCTATCAGAGGTTAAACCTAATCGGTACTCAAAAATGTCCCAATGTTGCTTTAATAGGAAACAAAGCATACAACATATTGTTCGCATTTGATAGTCATTTCATCATATTTAAATCAACAACAACAACAGTAACAATTTACATTTATCTAAAAATCTACATAAACGTTTAAAAAGAGTACACCTACCTTTGAACAAGTAGGTACCGCTGCTGCTCAACAGGTTATGTTCAGTTCCTTTCCTAGATTTATCCAATAATGTACTCATGCTAAATAAAACACAACACTTTCACATTTAAAACCGAAATAATTATCAACGACAAAGTAATTAATCACTCTTTAAACTTATTTTGTCTGTACGTACACTGCAACTTACTACTTACCGATCGGCCACATCTTGAGAAGTGAGTCATAAACTAATACATAATTCAAAATGGAGAGTTCATAACCTACTCGGTCTTAAAACAAAATACATAATCGTAAAAAGTATACATACAGGGTGCTCAATTACTTGAGGCAATTAATAAGATTTAAAACAGTGAATAAAAAATAAACAAAAAAAGGCAATAAATAATTTANTATTTCATAGAAATATGCAAAAATTATATCGAAATTTAAATTCTTTCTAAACGAAAATGTTTTTTTTTTATATCTACGTTTAACAAAATCACTACCCTAAAGTAGACAACTGAATAATTTTATTATGTATTATGAATTTTACTACCCAAAATTGTGGTGTTATAGGCGGATGCTATAAATACCGTAGATAGAAGGGGTTAAAAAAGAGGAGGTATTAGAAAGAGGAGAACAGAGGGTGTTATCGAAATCAGTAAAAATAGACGAGATAGGTCGGTAGGACACCTACCCGGACACAAAGGGCTAGTTATAGATATATTAGAAGTAGAAGCAGGAGTTAAGAGGGGTAGAGGTAAACGCAGATTAGAATATTGTTCTCAAAGGGTTAAAGATGTATGTATGTTAGAGATGAAATGTATGAAATTGAGATGCGTGTCGAAGTAGGTGATGATGGTGATGATATTTATTATAATAAACATGTGGGTATGCATTTAAGAAAGTATTGGGTTGTTCGGAAAGTCATTTCGTTTTTTCCCGACAGAGGATTTAATTGTATTCTTTTGCATCCAACTTCACATTTAAGCCGTATAATTTTTATATGCTTTGAGAGCTCATATAGCAAGGCTTGTGTGTGAAAAATTCCAATTAATTCTACGCAGTAGTTTTTGGTTGGTGCCCTTTTAAATATGGAGAGCGATAAGCAGCATTTTCGACATATCTTACTGTTTTACTACAGAAAGGGTAAAAATGCTGTTCAAGCCAGAAAGAAATTGACTGATGTGTATGGAGAAGGTGTGTTGACAGTACGCCAGTGCCAGAACTGGTTCGCTAAATTTCGATCCGGCAATTTTGATGTCGAAGATGCACCACGTTCGGGAAGGCCGGTTGAAGCTGATAAAGACGCGATAAAGGCATTAGTTGATGTGAACCGGCGAATAACAACACGTGAGATCGGATTGAGGTTAAATTTATCAAATTCAACAGTTTATGACCACTTGAAAGGCCTGGGATTATCCTCGAAGCTCGATGTATGGGTTCCCCATGTTCTCACAGAGAGAAATCTGTGTCGCCGCATTGACGTCTGCGATTCGCTTCTCAAACGTCACGAAAATGATCCGTTTTTGAAGCGCATCATCACTGGGGACGAAAAATGGGTTGTATACAACAACGTCAAACGCAAGAGGTCATGGAGCAAAAAAGATGAACCGGCTCAAACCATTTCCAAAGCCGATATTCACCAAAAAAAGGTGATGCTGTCTGTTTGGTGGGATTTTAAAGGAATCGTTTTTTTTTAGCTTTTACCGGATAACACAACGATTAATTCGGAAGTCTACTGTCATCAGCTGGACAAACTGAATGATGCACTTCAACAGAAAAGGTCAGAACTAATCAACAGGAAAGGTGTAGTGTTTCACCAAGACAACGCGAGACCTCACACAAGTTTGGTCACTCGCCAAAAGCTTTTACAGCTTGAATGGGATACAATCCTACACCCACCATATTCTCCAGACCTGGCACCATCGGATTATTATTTGTTCCGGTCACTCCAAAATTTTTTAGACGGTAAAACCTTCACCTCAAATGAAGAGGTCAAAAACCTCCTCGATCAGTTTTTTGCCAGCAAAGGCCAAAAATTTTATGAACGTGGAATTATGCTACTACCAGAAAGATGGCAAAAGGTGTTGGACCAGAACACTCAATATGTAATTTAATAAAGTATTTGTTTATTATACGAAAACTGTCTTTCATTTCCACAAAAAAAAGCGAAATGACTTTCCGAACAACCCTATATATGCTATTGAGTAATAGTAATATTTATTATAAACAATAATTAATGGATTTTATTGCAACACCTATCCTCCTACCTAAATTGCACATTGTCTTTTGTACTATTTCGTAACGTCTCCGTACGATTCCTAAGATAAATCGAAGACAAATGTCTACATTACAACATTCTACAATAAGAGCTTAATCGAAAGACTTCTTATCTTAAAGAGCTCGTTTTTTTTTAATGCAGGCACAAACGATTTTGTTTGTAAGATTGTAACAGTCATTTTACTTTCCTTTAAACTAATCAGTTTTGCGTTCGTCGTGGACTGTTGCAGATGATAGTTAATTAGAAGTTAAACAAACGATAGCGAATGCAAGTAAGTTTTTACAATTTTATTGTTGTAATTGTTCTTTTTATGGTAGGTACACTTCAGCGTTTGTTATTTGTGATAGAAATGTGCCGATAATTTAAAGAGAAAGTTCGGTTATTGTTCTATCTTTGTTCGTACATGAAACATACCATATGTACCTACACATAGTATAATAAGTGTATGTATATGTATATAAATATAATGTTATTAGATACTTAATTAGATAGAATGTGCTAAACAATGCGTAATTATTTATTTAATAGTTTTTCAAGAGTAATAATTAATTAGGTAATATATGCTAATTGAAACATAAAAAGCAAGTCCACTAATAAAATTGGACCATATAATTCTTATAAGTACAAATACGTATTACAAATTGTACTTATTTATAGGAGCTAAATTGGTTGCTTTTTCATAAAGTCATTAAAAACGTAATCACTTTAAAATTGCCCGATTTTTTAATTTTTTTTTGGTTTTCAGGGACCACTAATTGAACTTTTATGTTAAACCAATTCATATGATAAAAAGTTACTACCAAAAATTAATAATCGTCCTGTTGTTTAGTGTTGTATCACAACTACACATTTTTATAAAAGTCGGAATAATTGAAATAAGTAAAAAGCTATTGAATTAGAATCACACTTGTAGAATAACAATAACAAATTTTTGTTTTATTTACAGTACTACTACCTATTTTATTTTATGTTTCTGTTATCATTGGTGTATTTTTAATGCATTTACTTATTATTTCATAGAAATATGCAAAAATTATATCGAAAATAACAAAAGTGAGTGCTTTTTTCTTTCCTTTAGAAATCGTATGCCTTACAGACTTGTAGAAATTAATTTTACAAATTCAAAATTATATTTTGTGGGCAATTGGCGTCGAAGCTGTGACACAAAAATTGTGCAAAATTAGTTTTAATTTGGAGTACCTTTTTACTAATTTCTTAAAAAGTATTTGAGTTCTAAATAAATGTACATGATCCCAAGTAACTGCTTAATTGTGTAGTTACGCTTTTTTGCAACTTGCCCCATTTTAATTTTTTACAACATCGTTGGTACCATTTTTTGGTACTACACAGAGAAAATGAAAATCGAAAATTTACCTAAATATTAAACCGATATTTACAATTTTTCCCACTATCCCGTTGCTTCGTAAGCGAAAATAATAAAAATTACAATTTGGACCCGAATTTGTAAAAATAAAATCCCAGCAGAAATAAATTTACTAGGTATTTTAGTTGATATTACAAATTAAATTGTAATAATTAAGAAACTTGAAATAATTTTTAAAGAAACATGTCAAAATTGAGATTATTACAAATTAGCTAATAAATTCTACTATTTCTACGACAAATTCAGTAATTTACAATCGAAAATTTTCTCCGTGTCATCATCATCATCATAAGGTCATCAGTCTTAAGACTGGTTGGACACGTACCTCCACTCTTTCCTATCCTGAGTTAAACTTCGCATTTCCCTAAAACTAGAACAGCCCACATCCTTAACTATTTGCGAAGAGTAATCTAATCTNGTTCAGTTTAATTTTGCCGGTTTTGGATTATAAAGTCAAAATTTTAAATTTTAATTGCAACAGTAAATCTACTAACCCATATACTTGCCAAAAAGTAGAGAAAGATACCCTTATCTTTCTCGGTTAGACGCAGGTATCAAACACTTTACTTACACTTTATAAAATGTGTACATCTTTCTCTCTGTTTAAACCGTTTGTAGAGTGTCTCTCTTTTATTACTTGTCAACGTCACTATAACTTATTTAAAATTCATGATGCAATCGGGGGTATAGCAATAAAAGAGAGACAAACTTTACAAACTATTTAAATAGAGAGAAAGATGCCCAAATTTTATAAGTACCAACAGTGTTCGTTAGCCAAGAAAGATAAGGCTATCTTTCTCTTATTTGTGTTAGCTAAACGGGTAAGTAGATTTACTGTTTCAGTAATAAACAATAAAGTAAAAGATTTAAAATTTTGACTTTATAATCAAAAACGGGAAGATAAACTGAACCGACTATAAGTCCGCCCTCAAATCACCTAAAAATCATATACGTAAACGTCTACAAAACTTATTGATAACGGGCTGTATCATTTATTCATTTTTCAACAGTGCTGCTATACGAAAAACTAAATGCGCAAGTAACAAATAATACGTTGCTACATTGCAGTTAAACATTATTAACACTGTTAATTTTTGAAAACACGATCATTTGTATCACAATCGGTGTTCTAGAAAGTTGATATGAAATAGTCTTTTTAACAATACCATTGTTACATAAAAATAAACTTGGTTTAGCCATAAATATATCTCGGTTATCTATGCGTTCAAAATCCTTGGAGAATTTTTGTGGACTTTGTAGAGATTCGTAGCATTGTTAAATGTTTTTAAGTCAAGTCAATTTAATTCATCTGATACACTGATCTTGATCTTACTGGTTCATTATCGACATTCGACAGGTAGTAGTGCACAATCGGATCAAGGCAAGAAAATAAAAAGTCTTTTGAATGCTAAGATCTAATACCAAGGTAAATAAATATACTCTTAATTGGTGCTATGAACTTGTTACATATTATGCTTCCATTTTATTTATTATTGTATTTTATATATTTCAAAGTTGTACCCTTATTAAGTATTTTGTTTTATTTATTTTCTGTTCTTGATTAAATTTTCCTAAGGTAAATGCTATTAATATCACTTGCTAATTGTATGTTTAGAAGGTATAAAAGACTTAATTTAACTTTTCTTGGACAGATGAAAATGGACAATGACGTTGGCCCGCAGATCGTTAAAATCGAGAGACCTGTGTACGAACAGGAACAATTGCATCAGGATGGAGATTATTTTAAACCAACCAAAAATAGTGAGTACTTAGTTAAAACTTTTTTTAATCACATATTTTTTATTACATACAACACGTAATCCACCAACTAAAGCATAAGCCTTAAGTGTGCTACTCAAAAATGAGAAACATTACACAATTTTTCAACTTTTATTTTCTATTCTAATGAATAAATTAAAAACAAAAAGGTATAGGTCGCTTTTGGGATTAATCCGAAAGAAAGTAGAAAGAATTTTCACAAAATCAGTCGTAATTAATTCCTTTACATATAAGTAGAGTATTTTAAGTCTTTGATAAGAAACTACATCCTACTTATTAGTAGTCACTTTATAGAATAATGTCTCCTTTTGAACTTAGAATGGGCTATTAAATGATTTAATTTTCGTTTTTTCCACAACATATTACAAGCGAGTTGAGTGTGATATTTCTGTGACTAACTGATTAGTTCGTACAGACTATATGTTAATGACGTAATAATTTTACAGTGTACAGAATTTTTTAAAAATAAAATAATATGCGTACAGATACGAATATGGAAACCATTAAATTTGTTCGTGATTTATTTATTGCTGTTATTATTACCCTGCAAGGGCATATTCAGAATTATGCTAAAATGCTACTTTACTAACATCTGTAAATAACATTTTAGCATGTTCCTCAAGGTAGCATTCAACGAAGAAACGTTAAAAATTAATATTTAGGCTAAATAATTATTTAAATGAATGAAATAATTNTACCTAATACAATTCATAGAATTTAGTAGTTACAGACGCGGCTTATAAACAAAGTTTTATTTTTATTATTTCTCAACACAAGAACTATTGTTTAGAAATTTGTTTGGATTAGCACCTAGATTAAACAGAAAATTACATGATAAATTATGTATTTTGTTCATATTTACTCAATTACGTTATAAAGCGGTAGGTACTTCATTGCCGCAATAATTACGTATACATATTTACCGATTTAGATTTTTTTAAATTTAATTTTAGATGTGATTATATAATTATAAATGTTTACCTGCTTTTTCGTTAGCGCGTAATTAGTTTATCTATTTTTGTTTTTATTTTTTAGAAATTCTAAAAGGTAATCGATAATAAATTCTGTTTTCCTTTTGGGCTGTGAAATTATAAAAATGACTACATATAGGATGTAAATTTGTCACTCCATGCATGAAAGTTCGAGGCACAATCTAATTGATCTGATAAATGAATTTTTCAATCGAAATTGTGTTAAAACTTCGTTCTGCAAGTTGCATTTGAAATGGCAAAGGACTTTCGATTGGTTACTCATCCAGTATGTTTGGTGTGCTTTGTTATTCCGTTTTAGAATCGGTTAATACTGATAATATAATAGATACTTATTAATGATATTTAAAAAGAATTTTAAAAGTACCTAACAAGCGCTTAAACTGTATTATGTTTTTTGAGTATTTATCATATTTTTTAATAAAAACAGTGTATTTTGCGTTAGCACAAAATGGAAGATAAAAGTAACATGTCCCGAATATGTTTTTAAATTTTGTATGTTTTTTAAACGTCGATTTAACAAGTAAAACAGACTAATTACTACTAATACACACATAAACACAGATAAAAAGAAACAAAGGCAAATTAATGATTTATTTTATTAGTAAGTAATTAAGTTTCTGAGTTTAGTCTTTTAAAACTTTTTGATATAATTATTACTCTTGCTTTGAAAATACAATGAAAATTAAAAATTAAGAAAATTTGCTGCCTTGTTGTTATTTTTTTTTTAGGAATCAAAGAACTTTTCTCATCTTGTACGAAATGTAAACCACTGTCTCTTGTTACAAGCGTCTTACCCATCACAGTATGGCTCAGAGAATATAACTGGAGTCGAGATTTAGTTGGAGATTTAATTTCAGGTTTTACAGTTGCTGTAATGCATATACCTCAAGGTACATTGCATTTTATTTAACTATTATTATTAAGGGACTCAATCGTTGGTAAAACCACAAGCGCACACACCAAAAATCATTTGCCAAACACGTCGAAAAATAGTTCTTTTAAAAAAATTATTTTTAATGACAATTATGAAAATCAAAAAGCTTTAGTCGACAAATTAATATTAGAATAGAAGAATCACCAAAACTAGAGATTCTTCAAAATGTTCGAAAAAGACACCACACGCTATCTGCAATCAACAATTTTCCTCAAAACATATTCCTCGTACTCCGTCATATAGACATTATAACTGTTTTATGAGTTTTCTGCACATATAGGTACATGTGCAGGTACTTTTCATTAGATATCACTCATGGCCATGTATGCACAATGTTTGTCTGCAAGATTTCGAAGCTTTTTGATCAAAACTTCGCGAAAATACATGTATGTGTTCCTGTGAGCCGTGTAGTCAGTCATCCCGCACACTTTTTTCTTCCATCCTCATTGCATAATCATCAACATAAGGTCGTCAGTCCTAAGACTGGTTGGACACGCACCTCCACTCTTTCCTATCCTGAGCTAATCTTCGCATTTCCCTAAAACTAGAACAACCCACATCCTTAACTACTTGCGAACAGTAATCTAATCTAGGTCTACCTCTACCCTTCCTAACTCCCGTTTCTGCCTCTAATATGTCTCTGACTAGATCTTTATGCCTAAAAAGGTGTCCTACCAAACTATCTCGTCTATTTCTTATTGACTTCCATAGAGTCCTCTGTTTTCTTATTCTTTCTAATATCTCTTCATTTCTAACCTTCTCTATCCATAGTATCCTCATCATTCGCCTGTAACACCACATTTCGAACGATTTTAATCTTTTCTTTTCCACTGCACCCATCGTCCATGTTTCGCATCCGTACGGCGCCGTACTCCAAACATACACCTTTAACAATCTTTTTCCAATTTCTAAATTAAATTGGTTTCTCATTAAAATTACCCAATCAAAAACAAAACATATGTACTTTCACGGTGTGTGTCCCCTGTACATAGTTGGATTTTCTTTGCGTATAGATCTATATCTTCTATTAAAATTTGCACTACCTTTTGTAGGCATGGCATACGCCTTATTGGGAAACGTTTCCCCAATTGTTGGTATTTATATGGCATTCTTTCCTGTATTAATTTATTTTTTGCTGGGCACATCTCGGCATAATTCAATGGGTAAGACAACTAAAAATTAATCTTTAATGTTAGTTCCTTTAAAAACAAAATGCGTTCAAAAAAAATATTAAATATTTTTTCACCTTGTACAAGTAGCTGTTTATAACGTAATTATTATAAATGAACTAACTGTTGTTTATTTTTTTTTGTAAAAATATTTTTTTTCAATTATTTATTTCGATGGGTTTGTAGGAACGTTTGCTATAGTTTGTTTAATGACTGGTAAAGTTGTTTTGAAGTATGCCGATCCGTATTATTTTAAGATGGAACTAAATGATAATTTGATAAAGAATAATTCAACTGAATTAAGTAATATTGGATTTTCACCCATTGAAGTAGCAACCGCGGTAACATTCCTTGTTGGAATAATCCAGGTACCTACACTTCGATTAAGCATACATAATAAGTGTTGTATAACACAAATAATTTCGAAATATTCTAAAAATTTACCTAATACAATTCATAGAATTTAGTAGTTACAGACGCGGCTTATAAACAAAGTTTTATTTTTATTATTTCTCAACACAAGAACTATTGTTTAGAAATTTGTTTGGATTAGCACCTAGATTAAACAGAAAATTACATGATAAATTATGTATTTTGTTCATATTTACTCAATTACGTTATAAAGCGGTAGGTACTTCATTGCCGCAATAATTACGTATACATATTTACCGATTTAGATTTTTTTAAATTTAATTTTAGATGTGATTATATAATTATAAATGTTTACCTGCTTTTTCGTTAGCGCGTAATTAGTTTATCTATTTTTGTTTTTATTTTTTAGAAATTCTAAAAGGTAATCTAACATAACCTACCCTAACTCAACCCAGCCTCCTTCTATTTTAATTCTAAGGTCATTACTCATTACATTTTGAGTTTTTTACAGTGTGGAATGTATACATTCCGATTAGGAATTGCCAGTATGCTTCTTTCTGAGTCGCTTGTTTCCGGCTTCACAACCGGAGCTGCTGTGCAAGTTATGACATCTCAAATTAAAGACCTTTTTGGTTTGAGTATCGAGAAAATGAGCGGGAAATTTGAAGTTATATATGTACGTAATAATGTAATGCTACATTACAAAAAATACTTAACTGATTTCTTTTAATAGACATATTTGAATATATTTCAAAACATCACAACTACCAATGTTACTGCCCTTTTAATATCGACTATAACCATTTTTATTTTGACTCTTAACAACGAAATAATTAAGGTTAGTAAAAGTACCTGAAAAGTACCTATAAATTGGTCGTTACCGATTAAATTATTTATTTATTTTAGCCCAAAGTGGCTAAGTTGTGTTCGTTTCCTATTCCAATTGAACTGATAGCAGTTGTAGCAGGGACTCTACTGTCTAAATTTTTATTTTTGGACACGGAATACAGCATTAAAACTGTGGGTGATATTCCACAAGGGTGAGTGTCGAGGAATATCTCGCATTTTTAAACAGTTTTATAATGTTAATAGCAATATACACAGACACGAAATGATGGACTTATAAAATACTTAGTCCTCAATTTTTACGTGTAAGTCCTTAAACAATTACGACACATATTTATATTTAAGCTAGACGTTATATAGGGTTGTTCGGAAAGTCATTTGGTTTTTTTTTGTGGAAATGAAAGACAGTTTTCGTATAATAAACAAATACTTTATTAAATTATATATTGACCGTTCTGGTCCAACACCTTTTGCCATCTTTCTGGTAGTAGCATAATTCCACGCTCATAAAATTTTTGGTCTTTGCTGGCAAAAAACTGATCGAGGAGGTTTTTGACCTCCTCATTTGAGGTGAAGGTTTTACCGTCTAAAAAATTTTGGAGTGACCGGAACAAATAATAATCCGATGGTGCCAGGTCTGGAGAATATGGTGGGTGTAGCATTGTATCCCATTCAAGCTGTAAAAGCTTTTGGCGAGTGACCAAACTTGTGTGAGGTCTCGCGTTGTCTTGGTGAAACACTACACCTTTCCTGTTGATTAGTTCTGACCTTTTCTGTTGAAGTGCATCATTCAGTTTGTCCAGCTGATGACAGTAGACTTCCGAATTAATCGTTGTGTTATCCGGTAAAAGCTAAAAAAAAACGATTCCTTTAAAATCCCACCAAACAGACAGCATCACCTTTTTTTGGTGAATATCGGCTTTGGAAATGGTTTGAGCCGGTTCATCTTTTTTGCTCCATGACCTCTTGCGTTTGACGTTGTTGTATACAACCCATTTTTCGTCCCCAGTGATGATGCGCTTCAAAAACGGATCATTTTCGTGACGTTTGAGAAGCGAATCGCAGACGTCAATGCGGCGACACAGATTTCTCTCTGTGAGAACATGGGGAACCCATACATCGAGCTTCGAGGATAATCCCAGGCCTTTCAAGTGGTCATAAACTGTTGAATTTGATAAATTTAACCTCAATCCGATCTCACGTGTTGTTATTCGCCGGTTCACATCAACTAATGCCTTTATCGCGTCTTTATCAGCTTCAACCGGCCTTCCCGAACGTGGTGCATCTTCGACATCAAAATTGCCGGATCGAAATTTAGCGAACCAGTTCTGGCACTGGCGTACTGTCAACACACCTTCTCCATACACATCAGTCAATTTCTTTCTGGCTTGAACAGCATTTTTACCCTTTCTGTAGTAAAACAGTAAGATATGTCGAAAATGCTGCTTATCGCTCTCCATATTTAAAAGGGCACCAACCAAAAACTACTGCGTAGAATTAATTGGAATTTTTCATACACAAGCCTTGCTATATGAGCTCTCAAAGCATATAAAAATTATACGGCTTAAATGTGAAGTTGGGTGCAAAAGAATACAATTAAATCCTCTGTCGGGAAAAAAGGAAATGACTTTCCGAACAACCCAATACTTTGTTAAATGCATACCCACATGTTTATTATAATGAATATCATCACCATCATCACCTACTTCGACACGCATCTCAATTTCATACATTTCATCTCTAACATACATACATCTTTAACCCTTTGAGAACAATATTCTAATCTGCGTTTCTAAGTTCTAAGTTCAAAATTATCGTTTTTAGACTTCCGGAGCCCATTCTTCCACAACTTTCTTTATTTTCAAATATAGTTGTCGATTGTATAATGATTGCCATTGTGTCTTATGCGTTAACCCTGTCCATGGGTTTAATATTTGCTCAAAAATTGAATTATGAAATTGACGCAAATCAAGAACTTTTAGCTCTTGTAAGTAGAATGATTCATAATTAGTCGGTTTTCGTAACTGCCGATATTAATATTTTATCTTACAGGGTATAGGAAATTTATTTGGTTCATTTTTTTCTTGCATGCCCTACTGTGCCTCTATATCACGTTCTTTAATTCAGCAAACCGTTGGGGGAAAAACCCAACTGGCATCAATTACATCATGTTCAATATTGGTTTTTGTTTTGATGTGGATAGGACCATTTTTTGAACCTTTGCCAAAGGTACATGTAATTATCCTTGTTTAAAGGGCGATATTTAAAACAACATATCAATTTTAGGCCGTTTTGGCAAGTATTATTGTGGTTGCCCTTAAAGGAATGCTAATGAATGTAAAAGATTTTTTTAAATTTAATTTTAGATGTGATTATATAATTATAAATGTTTACCTGCTTTTTCGTTAGCGCGTAATTAGTTTATCTATTTTTGTTTTTATTTTTTAGAAATTCTAAAAGGTAATCTAACATAACCTACCCTAACTCAACCCAGCCTCCTTCTATTTTAATTCTAAGGTCATTACTCATTACATTTTGAGTTTTTTACAGTGTGGAATGTATACATTCCGATTAGGAATTGCCAGTATGCTTCTTTCTGAGTCGCTTGTTTCCGGCTTCACAACCGGAGCTGCTGTGCAAGTTATGACATCTCAAATTAAAGACCTTTTTGGTTTGAGTATCGAGAAAATGAGCGGGAAATTTGAAGTTATATATGTACGTAATAATGTAATGCTACATTACAAAAAATACTTAACTGATTTCTTTTAATAGACATATTTGAATATATTTCAAAACATCACAACTACCAATGTTACTGCCCTTTTAATATCGACTATAACCATTTTTATTTTGACTCTTAACAACGAAATAATTAAGGTTAGTAAAAGTACCTGAAAAGTACCTATAAATTGGTCGTTACCGATTAAATTATTTATTTATTTTAGCCCAAAGTGGCTAAGTTGTGTTTTGTACTTATTTATAGGAGCTAAATTGGTTGCTTTTTCATAAAGTCATTAAAAACGTAATCACTTTAAAATTGCCCGATTTTTTAATTTTTTTTTGGTTTTCAGGGACCACTAATTGAACTTTTATGTTAAACCAATTCATATGATAAAAAGTTACTACCNTAAATCGTTGTACTTTTCCGTATCGATTATTAAAAAAAATCACGAATAATTTCACATTAGAAATATTTTATTTGAATTTTTTTTTTGTTTTATATTTGATGATAAAAAGTTAGAAATGTGCTGAAGCTCCGAATTTTCGAGCCTCCTCAAAAAAAAAAAACGCTGTCCCACTTGATGGCCATGCCCTGAATAGTTCGGATTGGAATTTTTTGTTAAGGAAATGTTTATTGCGCACGCCTAAAAGAATCCATCAGGCTCTAGTAATAATAGAGACTATTTTCCACAATTCACGTGATACATGTGACGTTTGAGCATCGTCGTTGGTCGCAGAAAGTGTTGGGCTAAAGTCAGTGGTGTGGCACTTACCGTTTCCGAGATCTTCGCGGACAGACAAGGCACAGAGTGAACAGTGGGCAATATCAAAGTACGGAAACATTTTCAGTTTCGTAACTTGATTAGCGATGTCCAAAAACGCCTCGGGATCCATTTTGACAACAGGTTCACGGTAGCCACAGCTCACTGGTGAATTTGCTACTGAAATGTCTATTTCCATTGAAATCAGCTGTTCCGCACATGGCTATGCGCCAGAAACAGGGGCGGAACCTACGAACACAAAATAGGTACGAAAGAAAATTGTTTGTAACTCATCTCATAAAAGATGCTGTTACTTAAGCGCACACGATATTTCAACGACATTCTTAATGAAAGTTTGAATATTGTCTAAACAATTTTTAAAATTATTCCTAGTTTAAAATAGGTCACAAAATTTAGTTGCAAAAGCCTTAAAAACTACACCACTGCTTAATACCTAATAAAATTATCCAAGTCCAGGATAAGTTTAAAACGCCGGTCTAAATTTATTTTTGGGTAGAGTTTTCCCTTGCGGCTCTTGCAATGCTTTAAGAACTAATTTAATGGTTTACGTGGAAAAACCTGCATAACATTACATTATGTTTTTAACAAATAATTACACACTAATAACTTAATTATACATAAATAGTAGATGATGCTTTAGTAATGCAATTAAATTGTTTAATCATAAAACAGGTTTTTTTAATTAACTTGAACGTATTTCAGTAAAAATCATTTTAATTTTTTATTCATGCAATAAGGTATGCTTGTACAATAGTAGTAATAGTAATAAGTCAAACGCATCGAATAACAAACATTCACAAATTGTTGTTATCAAAAGTGTTATCATTAAAGTTGAACTTTAGCCAATCCTTACAAACCATTTATAATAGGTACCTACTATTCATTTATTCTGCTTTGTGTTCTGAAATTGTTCACTCATTCTTCCGCAAATTGTACTTTTTTGATGTAAATTTGAAAGTAAAAGTTAGTTATTGAGTACCTATCCACTTGGAATGTCTAAATTCTTTAAAATGCAAGTATTTTGATCCCTATTTATATCATAATAATTACAATAACATTGGTTCAATTTATTTTTAGAATAAGTACTGCAATGAGTATATTGTGAATATTTTTATTGTTATACATACATGTAATACAATTTAAAGCAGGGCCGTATTTAAAAATTTCGTTAGATGTTCTCCATGAAATACTTCATTATTCGAATATAATCTTAATGATNAAGTACCTGAAAAGTACCTATAAATTGGTCGTTACCGATTAAATTATTTATTTATTTTAGCCCAAAGTGGCTAAGTTGTGTTCGTTTCCTATTCCAATTGAACTGATAGCAGTTGTAGCAGGGACTCTACTGTCTAAATTTTTATTTTTGGACACGGAATACAGCATTAAAACTGTGGGTGATATTCCACAAGGGTGAGTGTCGAGGAATATCTCGCATTTTTAAACAGTTTTATAATGTTAATAGCAATATACACAGACACGAAATGATGGACTTATAAAATACTTAGTCCTCAATTTTTACGTGTAAGTCCTTAAACAATTACGACACATATTTATATTTAAGCTAGACGTTATATAGGGTTGTTCGGAAAGTCATTTGGTTTTTTTTTGTGGAAATGAAAGACAGTTTTCGTATAATAAACAAATACTTTATTAAATTATATATTGACCGTTCTGGTCCAACACCTTTTGCCATCTTTCTGGTAGTAGCATAATTCCACGCTCATAAAATTTTTGGTCTTTGCTGGCAAAAAACTGATC